TCCCAAGGGATGCTCCGTGGTTTTTCACCTCTCTGTGCATTCCTGGGAGGTTTAGTGCTCCAGAATCCTCCTGGAATCCAAATGCTCCTGAAATCCCAAGGGATTCTGCATGAGGATTGTTCTCTCCATGGTTTTCCAGAGTGGGGTGAAACCTGGGAGGTTTCATGCTCCAGAATTCCCCTGAAATCCCTGGGATGCTGCACAAATCCCGAGGGATTCTCCATGATTTCTCAGCCTGGGGATCTGGTGCATGCCTGGGATGCTCCAGGAATCCCAGGGGATTTTCCATGAGCTGGGTGTTGTCCTGCTTTTCCAGAGTGGGCGGAGCAGCTGACCCAGATGGGCCGGGGGAAACATTTCATCGGGGATTTCCTCCCGCCCGACGAGCTGGAAAAGTTCATGGAGACCTTCAAGGCACTCAAGGTGAGGATTTCTGGGATTCTGGGAATGCTCCAGACTCATCCCACAGCTGGGAATTCCTCCAGCTCTCCTTGCTCCAGCCATTCCTGCAGGGAAAATCAGGGATCATATCCCCACTGTTAGCACGGAAATGGGGCAATATTTGGGAAAATTCCCAAAGGATCTGTGGCTGCTCCATCCCTGGAAGTGTCCAAGGAATATTGGGAGCATCTTGGGATCATGGGAAGTGTCCCTGCCCACGGGACTGGATGGGCTTTAAGGTCCCTTTCCACTCTGGAATTCCACAGTTTGGGATTTTCCTGGAATTCCAGACAAACCTCCCACTCAGTTTCTCTTTGGGATCAGTGGGTACCAAGCAGTGAAAAAACGGGAATCTTGGGAATGGTGCAACTCCAGCACCTTCCAGTCCTTCCCAAACCCTGGAATTCCGGGAAGCTGCCTCATCCCTGCTTCCCAGACATTCCCTGGGATTCAGCCTAAGGAAAGAACCGGATCTGAGGCTGGATCCAGGGAGCACCTGGAATTCCAGAGCCGTTGTTGGAATCCCAGGGAATCCTGGCAGTTCTTTCCCAAAATCCCAGTTTGGAGGGGGGTAGAACTGCTTTTCCTGTGATCCATGGAATAAAAAATCCCCTTTTCCCTGCTTTTTCCTGCTTTTTCCCACTGCAGGAGGGCCGGGAGCCGGATTATTCCGAGTACAAGGAATTCAAGCTGACGGTGGAAAACATCGGATACCAAATGCTGATGAAAATGGGATGGAAGGAAGGAGAGGGATTGGGATCCGATGGGCAGGGAATTAAAAACCCTGTCAGCAAGTGAGTGTTCCTATGGATTATTCCTTCCTTTTTCTTCTGGGAATTCCTACTGGAATCGCAGCCCAGCTGGGATTTCTCACCTGAGCATGGAAAACTCAGCCCGGGAAAAAATTCCTGATGTTTTTGGGAGGATTTTCTCCTGGATTTGTGGCTGTAGCTGGAATTGGCCGAGTCCCTCAAATCCTGAATTTCCAACCCAAATTTCCATAGGGAAGTGCAGCTCTAAGAATTCCTGTCTGCACCTCCCCTCTCCCAGGATTAAATCCTTAAAGTCAGAAATTCCTGGGAATATTTGCTCTCCTTGGAGTCATAAAATCATGGAAATTATTATAAAAAACAGTGGGAAGCACATCCAGGGAGGATATTCCAGCCAGGATCAGAGCTTTGTGTGATCCTACGGGTCTTGAGGTCATTCCATGCCCAGAAATGTTGGGATTTGATCCCACTTTGGGTATTCCAAAGGTTTTCTTTAGGTGGATCAGCTTCCATTCAAATTCCCAGGGATTTGGAAATTAAACCAATCCCTACTTCCATCCAAACCCTGGGATTTGGGAAATGAAATTAAACCAATCCCTGCTTCCATTCAAACCCCAGGAATCTGGGATAGGAAACCAATCCCTACTTCCATCCAGTCCCTGGGAATTTGGGGAAGGAAACCAATCCCTGCTTCCATCCAATCTCTGGGAATTTGGGGAAGGAAACCAATCCCTGCTTCCATCCAATCCCTGGGAATCTGGGAAATGAAACCAATCCCTGCTTCCATCCAGCCCCTCACCCTGGGGATTTGGGAAGGAGCTCCAGGAAGGTCGCAGGGGCACAGTTCCCGTGGGAATTCCCGGGGTGGGGGGGTGTCTGAGCCGCGCCATTCCCGCGTTTCCGGCAGGGGCACCACGACCATGGACGGGGCGGGATTCGGGATCGAGCGCCCGGCGGAGCTGACCAAGGAGGACGACGAGTACGAGGCCTTCCGCAAGCGCATGATGCTGGCCTACCGCTTCCGGCCCAACCCGCTGGGACGGGAGAACGGGATAACGGGAATGGGAATGGGATAACGGGAATGGGAATGGGATAACGGGAATGGGAATGGGATAACGGGAATGGGAATGGGATAACGGGAATGGGAATGGGATAACGGGAATGGGAATGGGATAACGGGAATGGGAATGGGATAACGGGAATGGGAATGGGATAACGGGAATGGGAATGGGATAACGGGAATGGGAATGGGATAACGGGAATGGGAATGGGATAACGGGAATGGGAATGGGATAACGGGAATGGGAATGGGATAACGGGGTCAGTGCTGGCCTACCGCTTCCGGCCCAACCCGCTGGTACGGGAATGGGAACGGGATAACGGGAATGGGGTCAATGCTGGCCTACTGCTTCCGGCCCAACCTGCTGGTATGGGATCAAGGGAATGGGATAATGGGAATGGGATAACGGGAATGGGAATGGGGTCAATACTGATGTATCACTTCCTGCCAAACCCACTAGTATGGGATTGAATTGGGATTATGGGAATGGGAATAGGAATGGGATGGAGCCAGTGATGAGGGAGAGTCCCAGGAATGGGGCAGGGACGGGTCCCCTGGAATGGGAATGGGACGGATCCCCTGGAATGGGAATGGGATGGATCCCCTGGAATTGGGAGTGTCCCAAACCCAGGCAGGCACAGGGACAAATCCCTGGAATCTCTGGTGTAGCTCTGGGAGTGTTGGCAGCTGGGAAATTCCTCTTGGATGGAATTCCTCTCCTCATCCTGAACCAAATCTTCCTCCCAGAGTTCCCTGGATGCAGAATTCTCCTTCCCTTTTTTTTTTTTTTTTTCATTCAAATCCCAGTTTCATTCCCAGCTTTATCCCAGTTAAGCCCCTGCCAGGGGAGGCTTCTCCATGAATCCCACGATTTCTTTGGAATTACATTTTCCAGGGAGCAAAACCAAGCTTGGATTTTCCCTTTTCCCTTTCCAGCCAAAATCTGCCTTTAATTTTGAGGGGAAAAAAACCTGGAAAATGTCACATTCCAGTGGCTTTCCTAGAGAATCCAGATGCTGATTTTTGGGATAAAATCCCCAATCCTGATGATTTTTTAATTTTTTTTCTCCCTACAGAACAACCCACGGCGACCTTACTACTGAGGAGGACTTTTCCCAGCAGATTTCCTGGGAATTCTTATCCCAAACTTCATTATCCATCTCTTTTCTCCTGATATTATCCGGCTTTTTTTTTTTTTTTTGGAATCACAGCTCCTCCTTCCCCCATGGAAAAGCTTTCCCAGCTTTTTTTCTGGGGACACGGGGAGGGTTTGGAGCAGCCCCAAAAATCCCCCAAGGGACTCCAATTCCAAGGAGTTCGGGGATTTTTGGGAATGGCAGATCTTGTGCTGCTCCAGGATGGGGGGGATTTTATTCCTTGATTTTATCTTGGAATCCCAAATCCAAGAGATTTTGGGGAATTTGGGGAACCAGTGCCTCCAGTTTTGCCTCTGGATGGGCGGATCTGGCCTGGATCCGTTGGGAATTCCAGGATTTGATGGATCCAGGGGGGGATTTATTCCCTTCCCAGGGATTTTGCCAACACCTCCTGTGCTTTGGGATGATGAAGACCCAAAATTCCAAAGCCACACTTTGGAAAAATCCAACAAAATTCCATCACCACGCTTTGGAAAAATTCAGTTGGATTTTGTTGTCCTAAAAATGGAAAAAAAAAAAAAAAAAACTCTGGAAATACAAATTTTCTTCACGGAGTCTGTAAATAAAATCAAACTTGTTTGTTCCTTAGGTTTAACCCTTGGTGTTTTTTGGGAAGAGAGGGATTTTTTCTGGGGTGGGAGGCTGCCCTGGAGCTGGGTTTTCCAAGAATTCTCAGGGGAAAAAAGCTGGATTTGGTTCCTTTTTTGGGAATACTTGATGTGATTCTTTGCTAATTTTTTTAATTATGAAGTTGAGGGCTTGGCTTTTAATTAAAACCATTCCAGAGGGGGCGGGGGTATCCAGGGAAAATCCAAAATCTGGGAAGCTGGAGCCCCAGGATCCCAGCCTGTCCCTCCGTGACCCTCTGTCCTTCCTCCCAGGACCTCTGTCCTTCCCTGGATCCCAGTCCCTAATCCCAGGCCTGGATCCCAGATCTCCCCTGGATCCCAGTCTCGGATCCCAGATCCCAGTCCTGGATCCTAGTCCTCTGGATCCCTTTCCTGATCCCAGTCCTCTTGATCCCAGTCCCCGATCCCAGTCCTGGATCCCAATCCCAGATCCCATTCCCTCCCTGGATCCCAATCCCAGATCCCATTCCCGATCCCATTCCTTCCCTGGATCCCAATCCCAGATCCCATTCCTGATCCCATTCCCGATCCCAGTCCCTCCCTGATCCCATTCCCGATCCCATTCCCGATCCCATTCCCTCCCTGGATCCCATTCCCGATCCCATTCCCTCCCTGATCCCAATCCCAGATCCCATTCCCGATCCCAGTCCCTCCCTGATCCCATTCCCGATCCCAGATCCCATTCCCGATCCCAGTCCTCCCCGTGCCCCGTCCTTCCTCATTCCCAGGACTCCTTTCCTCCCTTCCAGGATCCCCCTGTCCCTCCCCTGTCCCCCTGTCCGTCCCTGCCGGTGTTCTTCCAGTTCCTCCGTGTCCCTCCCGTGTCCCTCCCCTGTCCCCGCCGTGTCCCCGGTCCCGGGCGGGCGCTCTGTGGCTTTAAGGGCGCTGCCCGGCCGGTCCCGGGGCCGAAGTCCGCGGGCCCGGTGCTGGCGGCGGGGCCGGGATGCAGCTCCCGGCGGGCCCGGCCGCCCTGGCCGCCCCCCTGCTCGCCCTCCCGGTGGCCCTCGGTGTCAGCGCTGTCACCTCCCTGGAGTGAGTGGGGACCGGGAGAGACCCCCGGGAATGGGGAACGGGAGTGGGGACCGGGAGGGACCCCGGGAATGGGAGAGACCCCGGGAATGGGGAACGGGAGTGGGGAATGGGGAACGGAGAGTGGGGGCCGTGAGAGAACCCGGGACCGGGAGAGACCGCCGGGAATGCGGAACGGGAGTGGGGACCGGGAGAGACCCCGGGAATGGGGAACGGGAGTGGGGACCAGGAGGGACCCCGGGAATGGAGAGACCCCCGGGAATGGGGAGTGGGGACCGGGGAACGGGCATGGGGAAGGGGGAATGGAAAAAGGGAATGGGGAGTGAAAAAGGGGAAGGGGGAACGAGGTCCTGCCTGGGGGAGGGGTTGGGTCTATCCTGGATCTGGGAATCCGGTCCGGGACAGGGGCTGGGTCCATCCTGGGTCTGGGAATCCCGTCCGGGACAGGCAACTCGATCCCGGTGTTCCCATGGGAAGGCGGCTGCAGGTGCGGTTTTCCCGCTGGATTTAAATCCCCTCCAGGAAGTTCAGACCCCACAGAGCCTCTCTCGGAGAGCCCAATTCTCGGGAATTCGGGTGATCCCGGCCTGGAGCCCCCTCCCTGTCCCTCCGGGAGTGTCCCCGCTGTCGCTGACGTGTCCCCGCCGCTGTCCCCGCTGTCACCGGGCGCCGCTTTCGCTTTGCCCGCCCGCAATTCCCGATCCGAGGCTGCGGGGGCGGCTCCGGGCGATCCCAGCGCCGCCCGCTCTCCTTGCTCCGGGCTCACAAATCGGGGTTTGGGTCTCGTTTGGGGCTTTTCCACACAGCCTGGAGAGGGACAGGGCGACCCCGGTGGGGCTCCGGCCCCATTCCCATTCCCAGTCCTTTCTGGGATCACACCCACCCTGCTTTTGGGATTTTATCCATTCCAAATCCATGCTGGGGTCACACCCACCCTGCTTTTGGGATTTTATCCATTCCAAATCCATGCTGGGGTCACACCCACCCTGCTTTTGGGATTTTATCCATTCCAAATCCATGCTGGGGTCACACCCACCCTGCTTTTGGGATTTTATCTATTCACAATCCCTGCTGGGATCCCATCTTCCCATCATCCTTTCTTTTGGGATTTCCCCCCCGGGTTATTCCCAGATCCAGATTTCCCCCCTCAGGACGGACATCGCGCCCCCCGTTCTGCGGGGTCTGATCCCAATCCTAAAACTCAGCGGGACCGGGAGTGTGTGATGGGGGTGGGGGATGGGGTGGGGGATGGGGCCGTGCCCGTGCTGCAGCGGCCCCGATCCCACAGCAGCCCCCCGGCGCTGGCCCTGGCCCTGGTCCTGCTGCTCCTCGGCCTCGTCTCCCTCCTCATCCTCACCGGCGGCGTCGGCCTCATCCAGGACCCCCTGTTCTGCTGTGAGACCCCGGCGCGGGGTTGGGATTTGGGGTCTGGGGAGATCTGGGGTTGTGGGACCCACACAGGGCAGGGATTTGGGATCTGGGATTTGGGATTTTGGGGGAACTGTGGGACCCACATGGAGCAGGGATTTGGGATTTGGGGGAGCTGTGGGACACACATGGAGCATGGATTTGGGATTTGGAATTTGGGGGAGTTGTGCGACCCACATGGAGCAGGGATTTGGGATCTGAGGGGAATCACTGGGACTCAGAGCAGGGATTTGGGATCTGGGATTTGGGATCAGGGGAGAGCTGCAGGACCCACAGGGAGCAGGGATTTGGGATTTGGGGGACCCCGCAGGGAGCAGGAATGTGGGATTTGGGATTTTGGGGGAGCAGGAGTGTGGGGTTTTGGATTTTGGGGACCCTGCAGGGAGCAGGAATGTGGGATTTGGGGTTTTGGGGACCCCGCACGGAGCCCCCCTGCTCCCGCAGTGTTCGTGGTGTTCTCCTTCGTGTCGGCCGTGGATTTGCTGATCGCGCTGGAGGAGGACGGGATCATCTCGGGCTTCACGGAGCTCTACGTGCGGGAGGTGCCAGCCCTGCCCCGCACACCCACCCCGGGCTGCCGCACCCCCCGACCCCCGGTGCGACCCTCCCGGTGTCCCCACCGCCGGTGTGACCGGGTGTCACCGCTCCTGCTGTAACCCCCCCCGCCGTGTCCCCCGCTGTAACCGGTGTCCCCTCCCAGTGTCCCCCAGTGTCGCCACCCCCAGTGTGACCCGGTGTCCCCTCCCGGTGTCCCCAGCCCCGGTGTGACCCAGTGTCACCGCCCTCGCTGTAACCTCCCCGGTGTCCCCCGCTGTAACCCGTGTCCCCTCCCAGTGTCCCCCAGTGTCGCCATCCCCAGTGTGATCTGGTATCCCCTCCCGGTGTCCCCTCGCGATGTCCCCAGCCCCGGTGTGACCCGTGTCGTCTCCCTGTGTCCCGTCCCGGTGTGACCCGTGTCCCCTGGCGGTGTCCCCTGGCGCTGTGACCCGTGTGGCGCTGTCCCCGCAGGGCGATCCCCACCTGCGCACGGCTCACGGGCTCCTCACCTGCTACTGGGACGGCGCCGTGCACTACGGGCTGTGCCTGGCCATGGCCGGGGCCGCGGGGCGCAGGTGGGCGGGGGGACCCCGGGACCCCTGGGGAGGGGGCGGGAGAACCCCGGAATTCCTGAGGAGGGGGGAGAACCCTGAATTTCCTGAATAAGGGCTCGGGAGAACCCCGAATTTCCTGGGGAGGGGGCTCGGGAGAGTCCCGAATTTCCTGGGGAGGGGGCGCGGGGGGTAGGGGTAGGGAGAATTCCCGAGTTTTGAGGAGGGGGCTCACGGTGATCCCGGAGGGAATGAGAAAATCCAAAATTTTGTGAGGACGGGGCTAGATGATCCCGGGCGGGGGGGGCGCGTGGAGCTGGAAAATCCCGAATTTCCTGAGGAGGGGGCTCAGGGGTGGTCCCGGGGTAATGGAGGTGAAAAATCCCGAATAATTTTGAGGAGGGGACTCGGGAATGATCCCGGGGGCGGTTGAAAAATCCCGAATAATTCTGAGGAGGGGGCTCGGGGGTGATCCCGGGAGAAGGGAGGGGGTGACAAATCCCGAATAATTTTGAGGAGGGGTCTCCCGCTGTCCCCGCAGGAAGAGCTACCGGGGGCTGGGTCTCTTCTGGCTGGGCTCGCTGCTGATGAGCGCCGTGGTTTTCCTGCTGGGCAACCTGATCGGTACGGCCGTGGGGAGGGGGCTGGGGCCGGGCCCGACCCCCCCATCCCCCCGGCAGGAGGAGGAGGAGGAGGAAGGGGAGGAAGGCTCCGTGCCCACCCCGCGCTCTGTCCCGCAGGGAAATACAGCCCCGAGCTGAGCCCGTCCTTCCTCCTCAACCTGCCCTACCTCCTCCTCCTCACCTGGGCCGGCCTCCGGCTCTTCCAGCAGCCGCGGGCGCTGCCGAGCCTCAGCCCCGAGCAGGTGAGGCCGGAGCGGGGGGGTTTGGGGGCGGCTGCTGCCCCCCCAGGGTTGGATCAGAGGGTGAGGACCCCAAAAATCCCGAATTTCCTCTCGCAGATTGCAGAGGAGCAGCGCAAGCCCCTCTACCAGCGGCCCTGGGACCTGCTCCTCATCCTCATCCTCATCCTCACCGCAGCCTTCACCTTCTTCAGGGGGATGGTGAGGGCTGGGGGCGGCTGGGGGGGGCTCGGAGGAGCAGCGCAAGCCCCTCTACCAGCGGCCCTGGGACCTGCTCCTCATCCTCATCCTCATCCTCACCGCAGCCTTCACCTTCTTCAGGGGGATGGTGAGGGCTGGGGGCGGCTGGGGGGGGCTCG